CTGGCAGGCTTGTACCTGGCACGGGCACCGTAGCAGCCCGTGCCCCTTTAAGGGGTCCGGGGCCGGGAGGGGGGCAGACGAGTTTCCCTGGTGTTGGCCAGAGTGGCCACCAGGGAAACCTGGGGAGGGCTAGCCTCCCACTAGTTCGAATTAAGGGTCTACACAGCCCTTAATTCGAACTAGTAAGTTCGAACTAGGCTTAATCCTCGTGGAATGAGGATTACCTAGTTCGAACTAAGCGCTCCGTTAGTTCGAACTAAGTTCGAACTAACGGAGTGCTAGTGTAGCGCCTATGAAAGTTAGTTCGAACTAACGTCCGTTAGTTCGAACTAACTTTGTAGTGTAGACATACCCTAAAAGACTACAAACTAATGCTACCTTATCCACACTGAGGCAGGGAAGGTATGAAGAATCGAAGTTGGCAACTCTGACCACAACCATTACTATTGGTAGGAAGGAACTGAGGAGGGATGTGGCAAAACAGCAGTGGTATGAGGCACCAGAGAGAGATCACGCTGGTCTGATGGTTACTGCTAAGGAAAACATCTCCGACAACTGAGCAAATGGTGCATCAATACCTACCCACAATGGAATGGACATGTGCAATCCCTTGAAGAAAAAGAACAGCATAATGATGGTAGTAGATTATGAGTTTTAATTTCTCATACTAACAATGGTGATTTGCTATGGTTTATAACAGTTAGACACCCATACCTTGCAAATGCAGGTACCTATACAAGGATCATCATTCAAGCTGCCTTTCGCAGAGCAGTTGCAGGCCATGCAGTTAGGATAACCCTTGTAACCCAATGCACACCAATTGCAGCTTTGACCTGCATAGCCAGTCCTGCAGTGGCAGAATCCAGGGAGCATGCCTATGGAAAGTCAAAGAAAACACTAAACTCACACGTGGATCAATTCATCTTTATTATTAGTTATTTGTATTATGATGGTTTTGCAAGGATTGGAGCCACACTTGTGTTAGGCACTATAAAGTGTAAATGCTGTACACAGTCTGTGCCCTGAAAAGCTGACAAACCCAGAGTAAACTACTACTAAATGTGAGTGTGGCAGCATCTAGATCCTATTTATCCCACAGTGTCTGAGCAAGCTTTCCAATTAAAATGAACAGCTGTAATGGGGATTTAGCATTACACATAAAACTCTGTGGGTAAAAAGAAAAAAAATGGCAGCATGGTGGAGTCTTTGATTCCAGAAGTATGCATGTCACTGCAGCTGTTACAGACTGTTTCACAGCACAATGATTAGGAAATGACGTATTTCATCCCAAACTACAGTGCCTCAGATAAAGTGGTAGGCTGCTTTAGTCAAGGGTTTTTGTCTAATTTTAAGAGCAGTAGGCTGGGAGTCTTAGAGGTTCCTGCTCTGCCACTGACTTGGGTGATTATGGACTTAATTACTTAACTTCTCTGCTTTAGTTTATCAGCTGGTAACTGGGGGTAGGGTGGCAGGGGAAGTTAAAATGGCTTATAAGAAGTCACTGTTTAGTCTGACAAATCTTTGCATGGATTATGGCCTTTCAAATCCAAACCCAGAGGTTGTTCAGGTCACATCTCTATTTTATCCATACCAAAGTTTGAAGGTAGGGATGGTTTCATAAAAAATTCTGGTTTTGTCCTTATCTATATTGAAAATAAACCTATTACACAGGACAATTATGAAAATCAGTGTTTTAAAAAGCACTTTGAGATTCAAATATTAAAACATTCTATTAATGCCTGAAACATTGTTATTCACCCTTGAAATTATTAGTGGAACATATGAGGATGGTAAAAAAGTATTGCTATTGAAATGTACAGTATGCTGCTCATAATGGGAACTACACATTAAAAAAAGTAACATTTTAACTGGAACAATTCCCAAACCCTTGGATACATCATTCTCCAACCTGTCTTCTGATCTATCCCAACCTCATCACAACTCTATATGCAATTTTCTATAATCTCTTCTTGTAGCAATGGTCAATTGTTAATGGTAAAGTATCCCTCTACTAGGCTACAAAGAGACATAGTAATTATTATTCATACCCAATATTTCTCAGCCTTGGCACACTCAGAATGCTTATTCTGTAACCTCCATCTCAGTGAGAATCTCTCATTTTTAGCCTATGCCCCCATTTATCATCATCTTACTATTTAAATATAAGAATTATAACTTGTTCATTGCTTGGTGTGCCACATGCTTCAGAAGCAGATTTCCATTTTACACCAAGCAAACCATTTATCCTTAAACAATCAGCGAGCTCCTCTGGAATGTGTTTCAATACATCTAACGTGTGTTCATTCTGATTTGCAAGTATATAGAGAAATTCCATTGGAATTGATCATGTTTCTCAGCCTTTCATTCAGAGAAGAAACAAACTCATTTCAGTTTACAAATACTCAAGTAAATTGGCTTTTTTCAGTTGCTGTCTTGGATGAGAGACTTTTTGCTATCTTCACTGAAATAGATATTCTGTCAAAGTAGCATATTATGGGCTCAGTACATAGTACTTCCTTCACAATTGGCTAGGTACATTTTTTTTTAGTACATAAGGTTTCATTGAGCTAGTGAGCACTTATTCAAGACAGAAATGAACAAGGGAAAAAAGTTTGGCTCTGTGCCTAGATACTACAGTGATGCTTGCAGTGCATTATAAGATCGGTTGCGAAAATTAGCCTATTTCTTTCTCCTGTTTAGGAATTTGTCACGGAAAGTAGGTCAAGTTATTTATAAACAAGTGCCAGATAATCAGACCAAATTAGGTAAAATGTAATAGACCAAGTTGATATGATTCAAGGACTGTGTTGAAATTATATTTGTTAAAAATAGACGTGGTACTAGAGGTTAATGAGCCAAAAACTGGAATATCCAATATTAGGTCTAATTGGAGGACAAAACAATAAGGGTTTAAGTTATTCCACCCATTTCTCCTTTTTCGTATCCTGAAAAGAATTTTTTTTTTTACGAGAAAGTACAAAATAACAAAATGAACAGATGGAAAGAACAGACTCTACTGAAATGAGCTTCACTGAGAGCACGTCTACACGGCAGGGCTAAAGCTGAAATAAGCTACGCAACTTGAGCTATGTCAATTGCATAGCTGAAGTCGCAATTGTTTAACTCAGCTTTTGGCGCTGTCTACACAGCAGGAAGTCCAAGTTAGAGCACTCTTCCTTCGACTTCCCTTACTCCTCATAAAATGAGGGTTACAGGAATCGAAGTAAGAAGTCCTCCAGCTCAACATTATTTTGACATTATGTTGAAATAACTGCTTGCTGTGTAGTCTCGGTCTATGTTATTTCAGAATAATGTCAGTTATTTCCAAATAACACTGCTGTGTAGACATAGCCCATCATACTTTCCACTTTCACCATTTCCAAGGAAACTATCCCTACATCTTCCGAATCCTGTGAGGTGTCCTGATCAGAATAGGTCAGAAAGAGAGGAGCCCAGATGACACCACACCCCTTCTGGCTCTAGCTAAATCCCAAATGCCACATGGAATTGACAGTTACATTGGACTGTTATCATCAAAAGAGACTGCCAAACTAGACTTCTAAGGCTTTAACAACAGCAGCACCACCACTGTTTACAGTTTAAGACAATAGGCAAGTAAGAGTAATGAATAACTACAGGTAATAGTTTCAAGGTGTAGCTGCATTAGTCTGTAATTTTAAAAACAAGGAGAAGGACCTGATATGTGGTTATGTAACCTAGTTGTATACACAGTTTAATGGTTTTGTGTTTGCTGTTTTTTATAGACAGACAGACAGACAATCAGAATTCCCTTACTGACTCTCCAGCCTGCCATCACAAATTGTCCTTTCCTACAGGCATAAGAGTAGAAAAGTATCCTGTGGAGGGACTTCTGGTAGGAAGGAAGAGTGGTTTTACAGACTTTGTCAGAGATGGTGTTCTTGTCCTTCTTCATGGACTGCTTCAAGAAGGGTATTCTGTGATTCACAGAATTGGAAGGGACCTCAAGAGGTCATCTAGTCCAGTCCCATGAACTCATGATAGGATGAAATATTATCTAGACCATTTCTGACAGGTGTTTGTCTAACCTGCTTTTAAAAATCTCCATCGATGGAGATTCCACAACTTCCCTAGACAATTTATTTCAGTTCTTAACTACCTTGACAGTTAGAAGTTTTTCCTAATGCCCAACCTAAACTGCCCTTTCTGCAATTTAAGGCCATTGCTTCTTGTCCTATCCTCAGAGGTTTTAAAAAAATACAGTTTTTCTTCTTCCTCTTTGTAATAAGCTTTTACATACTTCAAAGCAGTTATCACTTTTCAAGACTAAACAAATCCAATTCTTTCAAATTTTCCTCCTAGGTCTTGTGCTTTCTTTGGACTCTCTCCAATTTGTTCACATCCTTCCTGGAAATATGGTATCCAGAACCATAGATTCCCACTCTCTGGGAATGCTTTTCCAACCAGTTTTGTACCCATCTTACAGTAGCTCCATCTAGGTTATATTTCCCTAGTTTGTTTATGAGAAGGTCATGTGAGATAGTATCAAAAGTTTTACCATATTCAAGATATACCATTTCTACCACTTCCTCCCTATCCACAAAGCTTGTTACGCTGTCAAAAAAAGTTATCAGGTTGGTTTGACATGATTTGTTCTTGATAGATCCATGCTGTTAGTTATCACTTCATCATATTCTAGATGTTTGCAGATTGATTGACTATTCTCCATTAACTTTCCAGGTTCAGAAGTTAAGCTGACTGATCTGTAATTCCGAGTTGTCCTTATTTCACTTTTTATAATTTGCACTATATTTTCTCCTTTCAAGTCTTCTGGAATCTCTCCTGTCTTCCATGACTTCTCAAAGATATTAGCTAATGGCTCAGATATCTTCTCAGTCAGCTCCTTGAGTATTCTAGGATGCACTTCATCAGGGCTTGGTGAAGACATACTTGTCTAAGTAATTTTTAACTTGTTCTTTTCCTATTTTAGCCTCTTCTGATTCTACCTCATTTTAACTAGCATTCACTATGTTAGATGTCCAATCGCTACCAACCTACTTTGTGAAAACCAAAACAAAGAAGTCATAGATTCGTAGGGTTGAGGTCATTGAGTCCAATCCCCTGCTAAAATCCTGTAGGACCAATCCCAATTAACAATCCAAGCCAGGCTTTGTCAAGCTAGAACTTAAAAACCTCTAGGGATGGAGATTCCACCATCTACTTAGGTAACCAATTTCAATGCTTTACCACCCTTCTAGTGAACATTTTTCCTAAAATTCAACCTAGACCTCCCCCACTACAACTTGAGTTGATTGCTCCTCATTCTGTCTTCTGTCACCGTTGAGAATAGCCTCTCTCCATCCTCTTTCAGGTAGTTGAAGGCTGCTATCAAATCCCACTTTACTCTTCTCTTCTGTAAAGTAAATAAGGCCAAATCCCTCAGTCTCTCCTCATAAATCATGCTCCAGCTCCTTAAACATTTTTGTTATCGTGTGCGGGGTTTTCTCCAGTGTGTCCACATCCTTTCTGTAATGGGCAGGCCAAAATTGGACACAATACTCCAGATGTGGCCTCACCAGTGGTGAATGAGGGGAATAATCACTTCCCTAGATCTGCTAGCAATGCTCCTCCTAATGCACTCCAATATGCTGTTAGCCTTCTTGGCTATAATGGCACGCAGTTGATTCATATCCAGCTTCTCATCCACTGTAATTCCTAGGTCCTTTTCTGCAGAATTGCTTCCCCAATCAGTCTCCAGCCTGTAGCAGTGCTTGTGAATCTTCCATTCCAAGTGCAAGACACTGTACTTGTCCTTGTTGAACCTCACCAGATTTCTTTTGGCCCAATCCTCCAATTTGTCCAGGTCACTCCAGATCCTATCCCTACCTTCCAGCATACGTACCTCACCCCCTATCTTAGGCTAGATCTACACTGAAAAGTTAAATCAGGAAAATAAATGCCATTTGTGTATCTTTTTCTGATCTACTTTCAAAAGAAGCTTTTCAAAATTTGGCATATCTACACGGTGCCCAATTATGAAAAAAGTGCTCTTTTGACACATCCCTTCTTCTTCATAGAACAAGGTTTACAGAGATGGCGAAAGAGCGCCTCTGCTTTTTCAAAAAAAAAATTGGAAAAGCACATCTCTGGTATCCTGGAAAAGCAATGCAATCTAGACGTAGCCTTAGTGTCATCTGCAAACTTGCTGAGGGTGCAATCCATCCCCCCATCCAGGTCATTAATAAAGTTGTTGAACAAAACCTTCCCTAAAACTGACCACATAGAGTACTCCAGTACTCTGACCACTGGAGTACTGGAGTACTCTATGCCAACCAGATATGGAGCCATTGATCACTTCATGTTGAGCCTAACCATCTAGCCAGCTTTCTTTCTACCTTACCGTCCCATTCACCCAACCCATACTTCTTTAACTTGCTGCCAAGAATTCCGTGGGAAACCATGTCAAAAGCTTTGCTAATGTCAAGGTATATCACCTTCCCCATATCCACAGAGCAAGTTACTTCATCACTGAAAGTAATCAGGATGGTTAGGTATGATTTTCCCTTGGTGAATTCATGTTGACTATTCCTGATCACTTCTCTTCAAAGTGCTTCGAAATGGATTCCTTGAGGATCCTTTCCATGACTGATAGGGGATAGCCTGATTCCAGGGACTGAGGTGAGGCTGACCAGTCTGTAGTTCCCCAGATTCTCCTCCTTCTTTTTTTTTTATAGATGGGCAAGCATTACATTTGCCTTTATCCAAGTCATAAACACCTCTGCCATTTCCACAATTTCTGTTATTACTTCCCCACACATTGAGTTATGGGATTACCCTGTCCTTAGTTTTCCTCCTGATACTAGTGTATTTGTAGAGTGTTTTCTTTTTACTCTTTAATGTCTCTAGCTTGTTTGAGCTCCTTTTGTGCCTTGGCCTTTCTAATTTTGTCCTTACTTGTGGTTATTTTTTATATTCATCCTTTGTAATTTGACCTACTTTGAACTTTTTAAAGGACTCTCTTTTTTTATTTTCATGAAGGCTGGAATTAAAAAAATGCCTGGAGAAGTTTGTTGGCGATATAGACAACTGAGGCTGGCATCACTGGCAGAATAGTGTTTCAGAGGTCAATATGGCAAGAAACAAGAACAGGTAAGTAGGGAAGGAAAGAGGCATTACAGATCTGAAAGGTTAGGAAAAGAAGCCTATATCTGACATGGCAAAGAAGACAAAGCCAGCAAAGAAACAAAAAGAGTGTTCTAACACAGATGTAACAGAACAGGATTGCCAGAAAGGAAGTGATTTTGGTAAACTATGGGATTATAAGGGCCTTGAGAAAAGGTTTAATGTTGTGAAGAGAGAAAAATGTCAAGACATCCAGGCAGATAATAAGTAGAGACATTAAAATATGGAATTGAATAAACACAGGAGAAAAACTGTGGAGAAAGATGAGGAGTGGCCCAAGATTGAAGTGCTGCAGGATACCGAAGCCCGCCAACAGGAGCGAGGAAGAGGCCAATTGCATGGGGCCTGGCGTTTCAAAGGGGCTGGAGCTTCCAGCCACCTTTACTGCTACCCCAGCCCCCTTTGAACTGCTCCTTGCAGTTTTGACTTTGCTAAGCCACACCCTTTTTGCTCCTCAACCCCACTTCTTCAGGGTGTGTGGAGTCGGGGCCCCTCCCACCTTGCCCCAAGCCCATGGTGGCTGTCAGCCTCACTGTTGACACCGTCAGGAAGATGAAAAGGGGACCAGGAGAATTTATCAGAAGAACCAGAGCTGGAATGATTGTAGAAGCAGAAGAAGAACCAGGAAAGGACAAAAATCACAAAAGTAAGGAACGACAAGGTTTTAAGAAACACATGGAGGACACAATTACTTTCAAGCACGTTTAAAATGCTGTGACACCTTGCTCTTCATAATACAAAACCCTGTAGAATGCCTCCTACCGTGGTTAGGTCAGTAGATATGAGAAATAAACTGCACTGTAACTGACAGCAACCCACAGACATGCATGCATGTGTGGCACATTTCTTTAATTAAGGCCTTCTTCCCTCAGACTGATAGCCTCATTATTTTACTATGGAAATTGAACATCAGCAGTAGCGGATGTTTGAATAAAACATATCTCTTTTAATAGCATGAAAGTAGCCTTTAGTTTTTTAAGTCCTTCATCTATAACCTGTGCATTCTTACACATAGGTTTGCGAAAGATATCACATTGTCTTGCTGTATCTTTTCTAACCCTGCGAGTCATGTTCTCTTCAGCTTCTAGACAGTATCCTGTTAATCTGTGTGATATACTGTTCCTTCTCCTTCTGTATTAATCAGGCTCTGTCATTCTATCTAGAATCTTTAATCCCATTATTTAATTGATGTAATCAGTACATGGTGGGCATAGTAGATTTTGTACCTCTGAGCTCTGTATTTACAGCTCTGCTGTGCTTCTTTTATGTGTCATTGATTTACTTAATAAAAAGATCACTAAAGTATCTTTTATAAATGGTGTATAATTAGCCTAATTTGAAAAATCTTTTAAAAGCTGACCTTGTAGTTTTGCTGTACCCCAACCAAATGTCTACAACAAAAAAGCATCGTCTAAACTACAAGGAAGCAACATGCTTACTATCTGGAGATAGATCTTATAGGGAAACTAAAGTGAAGAGTTTGTAATCCTAGAGTTATAATAGAGATGGTAGGTAAATGTGACACTTTTCAAAGGGAGTATCCCTAGTTTTCAAAATGCATAATAGGCACTCAGAAGAAAAGGGAGGATAAGATTAAGGTTCTGCTTTATTTTAATCTCTGTCTCTTAAAGAAAGCTCTTTGCTTTTGGCAAGAAAACTAGAAAATCCTTTACAAGGATGCCACTTCATGCTGTATGCTTCATAAATGCATGTTACTTCCCAAAGGAACAAGGAGATATGCTAGAGGCTGAGTTTGGAGGGGGGGGAAGAGAGAGGGAGAGAGAGAGAGAGAGAGAGAGAGAGAGTGAATGCCAGTATCTACCGCATTTAAGAACTCAAGGAATAATGAGAAAAGCCAACATAAATAAATTCAATTGGGAATATACTTCCCAACATGCGTATGACTGCAGGCTGAAAAACTAAGACAATATGGGAGAATGCAATGAGAGCACAGGTAGATTAAAGGCTATGTGAATGAATTAGCAGTGGTTTGCTGTGAGGTTGTACTTCATAAGAGCTGGTTCTGTGAGGGGAGATGATTCAGTTTTCATTTTAACAATGTTGTACACGTTTAACACTGTAATCTAACTGTCAGGAACTCACCTCTTCCAGCATGTTTCTCATCCTTGACACAAGTAGCATGTAAAGACCCAACTGGATCACAGGAACATGGTCGACATGGATTAGGGTCATCTGGTAACACCTACCAGAAATTAAAAAAAGTACCATAAACCCCAGTGAGTTTCCAAGCTAAATCTTACTTTCTAAAAATTAGAAGTGCCCACTTAAATTAAACATGAACAAACAAGTCAGGATTGAATCATACTGGCTGTGTCTAGACAGGCCAGTTTTTCCGGAAAATCGGCCACTTTTCCGGAAAAACTTGCCAGCTGTCTACACTGGCCGCTTGAACTTCCACAAAGGCACTGACTTCCTACTGTAAGAAATCAGTGCTTTTTGCATAAATACTATGCTGCTCCCGTTCGGGCAAAAGTCCCTTTTGCGCAAAAGGGCCAGTATAGACAGCTGAGATTTGTTTTCTGCAAAAAAGCGTCTAGATTGGCCAGGGATGCTTTTCCGCAAAAAGTGCTTTTGCGGAAAAGAGTCCATGCAATTCTAGACACTCTATTCCGAAAATGCTTTTAACGGAAAACCTTTCCGTTAAAAGCATTTCCGGAAAATCATGCCAGTCTAGATTTAGCCAAAGTGTTTAGGATTTGTTTATTTATTTGTTTTAAAAAATCTGAAACACCATTGTTTTAAAAAAAAATTTGAAACACCATTGTTCTTTCAATCTATTAATTTGGTATTTGTGCTAATCTTAGCAATTTTTTACCAAAGAGACGCTCCATTAATGAAGGCCCCAAATTTAGTTAAAGAAAAACAGTTGTATATAAACTAATATCAGAAATGTTTTATTGTTTTTTTAATTACAGAAAGTGAAAGAATGCCTTTGTTTTAGTGTCTTTGGGTTTCTAGTACCTAAATTCTGCATCATTGTGATAACGAATAACAAGTATGGAGTGAAAGTTATTGTAAGAGGAGAAGTTCTGTTACACTGTCCAAGATGAGTGAAACACAATAATTAAACTACAGGATTCATGAAAAAAAGGGAACACTACACAATTCAACAATTTGCTTTCACCTTCACTTTTTTCATCTTAGTAAAGGAACCAAAATGTAAAAAGTGCAGAGAAATCTAGATCAGAGTTTCTCAACTTCTTTTTTAATAAAGTACCCCTTTAAAAATTATAAAGTACCCCCTTTAAAAGAAATAAGTACTCCTAGTACCTACAGTTTTCAGACACATAAAATTTTTTTCTATCTTTGCAACACATTTGTTTAAACAACTTAATCGTAGCCAGGCTGGCAATGAAATTTTAGGGTGTAAAAAGTACAAAAATAATAAAGTGCTGTAAAGCTTAAAACAAAAATTCAGTTTTCTTCAAATTTCTGTTGTGTTGACGTACCCCCCGACTTCTCTCGAGTATCCCTAAGGGTACTTGTACCATTGGTTGAAAAACACTGATGTAGATGCCCCAATTCCATAATTCTGTTTTTTCCAGTAAGCAGCAGAGGATTTATATGGAAGGTGAGTATTCCATCATCTTGGGACCCCATGTAGCTGTTCAAGTGTCCATAAGGTCACTTGAGCTCTACGTAGTCCTGTTGCTCGATGAACTGGGCACAAGCAATAAAAAACTACCGTATTGGTTGTAAAAATTCTTTAACACTTCCATTCTGTGCCTGATCTTCAAAAGTTCAGGGAACAAAGTACACATTGAAGCCTGATATACTCATCCTTATTTTAAGATTCAGTATTTTTACCATTAATAACCCAGCATCTCTGAACATGGAAAGCTGCCAAAATCATACTAAACCTTGAGAATGTTTTCACAGTCTTTTTTTCCATTACTAGGAAGAAAGAATAATCCCATGGTTACATCAAAGAAGTTAGAGTGGTATTTTCAAAAGCACCTAAGTGACATAGGATGACAATTCCTATGGACAGTCAATGGAATTTGTGCTCCTATATGTCATTGATGCACTTCTGAAAATATGACTTGGGAGGTGAGAGTTCTGTTCTCATGCTGACCACACGCTGTCTTTGCGACCTTGGACAAGTCACTTAGCCCTATATTTTCAAAAGCCTGGCCTTCCTACTGTTATTTTCAGATGCTTGTCCAAATTTTCTACACTCACAATTGTTTGTGGACATATATTTGTAGTTGGATGATTGATTGAATTTTGCTCCAAAGTCAGTTTTACCATCCAGCTGCTGCTAAGAGACCAAAACTCTTTCTTCTATATCCTTTGAAGACAAAGTTCAAACTTGCTACATAGGGGGAATTTTTTTTTTCATTTAAGACTGCATGGTAGTAGAGGAAAGAACAACCATGTCCAGTGGCCAATCTTTGGGCAACTGAGGGCTGTATAGATAATGTGCCAAGGACCTTCAGGAACCAAGAGGCACACTAAACAGAATAGAGAGTAGCTCTCCAGATCTTTAATATAGAGTCACAGCCTATGCAGATAATGGATCCCAGTATGTCATGCTTCTTCTCATGACCTCAGTTCAGACCAAGATGGAGCATTGCCTTCTGAGATTTAGTGTAGTGCTTTCACAGACCACATCTTTCTGTACTGATTGGAAGGTATCTTCAGGATATAGTGTTGAATTTTGTTAACTATGTCTGATTTGCATCTACATTTTGGCCAGGCATGGTACAGATCAGGTCATGGTAACAGATAGACTTAGAAGTACTACTACATTATATTTAAAGAGCATAAACAAATTTTAGATTCTCCTTTCTCTGACTTTCCCCTCCACCTTGAGCAACTACAGCAATATTTCTGTTTTTTCAGAGTGTACATTGAAATTTTCTACCGATGGAAAAGCCATGTTTACAGGCTTGCATCCTCCTTTAATTCAAACTGAAATACTAGCTGGAGGCCCTGACCTTAAGTACATTTCTTCATATCAACACAATTTGCTTTCATATTCCTGTGAACATCTACTTTACAGATTTCCAGCTGTGAAAAGCAACTAGTATCAGAATTACAACTTAACCTCCATAAAACGGCAATCAAAAGTGTGTCTTTTGTATTTAATAACTAACGCCCCACACAGAAGTGATTTCTTGAACAACACAGAAGTGACAGTAAAGCATACTTTACCCCTTTTGGCCTGAAGTAGCCATCAGTGCAGGTCTCACAGTTTATGCCTGCAGTGTTATGTGTACAATTAATACACACTCCACCCCCATTGTATTCTCCGTGGATATTCAAACTTTGATTTCTGTCTGCAACATTCTGATCATAATAACATTCCTTAGTCTTCCCATGACAATTGCATTCTGAAAAAGAGACAACTATAATAGCAAGCATAACATACAGGCTATAGACATGCAGAAATAACATTTTTACTGAAATATTAACAATATTCTTACATCATTTTGACATCTGTGTCACGAACATTGAAACAAATAGCACACTTACTCATGAGTTTACCACTTCTTCAATTTTTAAAAATAATAAGACCGACTCACAAATGGTGCCTGGAGTTGCTTCATATAATAGTTGTTTCTTGGGCTAACTCTACACTACAGAGTTTCTTTCACAACAACGGCCATTTTTCTGAAAAAACTTCACTTACGTCCCCACTGCAATCGCGTTCTTTCGGAAAAAACAGAGAGGTTTTTCTGACATTGATAAACTTCTTTCTACAAGGAAGAAGCCTTTTTCTGAAAGAGCTCTTTTGGAAAAAGGTGTGTGTGGATGGGGAAGAGGGAGTTCTTTCGAAAGAAGAGGAAAGAGTTTTGAAAACGCATAGGTGCCCTAGTGGCCACTCCGTCCATAGTAATCACAGTTTAAATGAGAGAGAGCATCCACAGTGAATAGATTCTTTCTTTCTATGTGCTTTGGCAGTGAGGATGCTCTCTTTTGGAAGAAGTTTTTTTGGAAGATCTTTTCCAGAAAAGCTTCTTCCAAAAGAAGTCTCCAGTCTTGATATAGCCTGGGTGTTTTGTCTTGGGAAAAATCCCTAAAAGCTCTTTTTTAAAAAAAAATATATGCTGGAAATTGGTGATCCCATGCTGAATGTACATTTTGTTCATGAGGAAGTTATATAGTACAAGACACAAGAAGATACAAGGACTACAAAGAATATATTGAAAAGTTAAAATGATTAGCCACTTTAATATTCACCAAAGCTAAACAGGAAGCTTAATGAAAGTACTTCATCTACAAATAAGACATACGGGAGATGGTGAAACAAAAACTTTGAATCCAAATGCCTTCTAATTTCAGGGCAGTTCAGATCTGAATCGTAAGAACATAAGAATGGCCATACTGGCTCAGACCAAAGGTTCATCCAGCCCAGTACCCTGTCTGACAGTGTCCAATGCCATGTGTCCCAGAGGGAGTGAATTGAACAGGTAATGATCAAACGATCTCTCTCCTGCCATCCATCTCCACCCTCTGACAAACAGAGCCTAGGGACACCATTCCTTATGTATACTGGCTAATAGCCATTTATGGACTTAACCTCCATGAATTTATCTAGTTCTCTTTTAAACCATGTTATAGTCCTAGCCTACACAACCTCCTCAGGCAAGGAGTTCCACAGATTGACTATGTGCTATGTGAAGAAGAACTTTCTTTTATTTGTTTTGAACCTGCTCCTTTTAAATTTCATTTGGCGGCCCCTAGTTCTTATATGAATCCTCAGATGTAAAATTGTCCCCTTTGGCTTTTGTTTCAGGCTGGATCCAAAATTAGAAGAGGACAATATACTGGTTCATGTAATGCAATTTCCACTATTAAAATGCATAAAATAGCCTACACGATTTTATTATTTAGTGAATTAATTTTTTCACCATCATTTGGTCTCAAATTCTGAATCTTAGGCTGAACTTAAGTCAAGCTCGATGGCCAACTTCTAATGTGATATAAGCAAGTTTGGTGCCTGGTTTGTATGAATATAGAATTTTGGTAATTATCATTTCCAAATTTTAATAAATAGGAATCCCTGATACAAAGCCCATTGAAATCAGAGGGAGTCTTTCCACTGACTTCAGCATGCTTTGGAGCAGGCCCTGTGGGCTCATTTTCACTCATTAGATACTGTGCTACACTTAAAACATGGCAAAAGGTATTAGAATGAATGCGTCTGCACTCCTGTAGCTATATGAGCATTCATGTACAGTTGCACTACTTTTTAATAGGTTCAGAAATTAAGGTAATTTGTTAACATTAGTGTTTACTATTACTATTAGAGATAGGAGAAATTCCAGCTTTTTGAACTCTGCTTTCATTCCAAATCAGAACAAAAAAATTGAATATCAGTATTTTCTATAAAATGTAAATTTAGAAAAAAAATCTTTGGAAACACAATTTTTTCATTTAGATAATATTGAAACACCTTATATAAATATTCATCTAATCTATTACATAGAAATATATAAATAGTCAAAATGAAATCAGTTGTATTAACCATTTTTACTTTATCAAAAAAAGAGAAAGTCAAAACAAATTGTTTTGATATTTGCCTATTGAAAATTTCATCAGAATTGACATATTCTCTCAAAAGGTTTTAATTTTGACAAAATTCCATTTTTCAGAGGAAATCTATTTCATGGAAACATTTTCAACCATGTGTTTTTATTAAATGGCAAAAAAAAAATTGCATAGTGGATGTGAACTAACATGTGGTTACATTTACAATAATTGGCATTATTTTGAAGTTAAATGAGTTCTGCAGAGGTTTAAGGGCTAAATACTACTCAATGCTGAGCAGGAATTAAGCTAGAGCTTTTATTTTTTGCTTCACTTTTTTGTAACTTACCTTCACACTCAGACTTGACCAGGAATGTCCCAGCTCGCCAGGGCTTTTGATGAAATCCAGGACAGCAATGATCACAACTTTCCCCACATGTGTTGTGCTCACATTCACAAGTAGATCTCTAATTCACATTAAAAAAAGACAACAAAATCTTAATACAGCATGGTGTTAGAATAAAACAGAGAAAAGCTCTGAGGATGATGGAGAATACATGCAAACCAACCTACCTATGACTGACTGCTTTTATTAAATTATCCTGTTTTCTTCAATGAGCCTTTAAAATCTACTCATATTTTTATAATTATCTTAAATATTTCAGACCTGTCCCTTTCAAGCAATATATTTATGTAAATTATTGCAAGCAAAGTGCTCTACCCTGGATTCCATGTGTATTTCATTTTTTTTCTGAATTATAGTTTTAACAACATTTAGATTATGAATATTTGCATAAAAAGATACGTCACCCCCCAAAATCCTTTCCTGTGTTGCACAGGCAGTACATCCAAACAGAATTATCTGAGGAACTATTTCTGGTTCTGCAATGTTATCACCATTCTTTCAAGGCAAGCCCAATGGAAAGGCATAGTTCCAAGGTTATGATTGTAATCTGACAACTGTTCTTTGAGAATAACTGCAGAAACAGGTCATCATTTATTCTGTAGGACTTAAGATAAAAAAATCCTATAAGTATAAAACCCACAAGATGGCTCAGTATCCCACAGAAAGATTATTATTTTCTATAAAATTCTACAGGACCGCTCCATAAGTGAAAGCATGGTGTGATCTCACACTATTGCATGCTACAAGTAATTTAGATACATTAAATAATTTCATGTCAGTGTTAATGTGTATGCAGTTTGGAAGAAGCTAAAGAATCAGTCTTAAACTGAAGTCCTTATTTGATTATGTTCTGATTCAATTAAACTTGAGTGGAAAGCTAAAAACATAGAAGAAGAAATTATAACCGCCTCGTGATTTTTCAGACAGACTCAGTTCCCATTCAGTTATTGTTTCTGACATGGAAAATATTCCATCATTTATTTACAGGTGTCCATTAAAATGGTGATGTTTGTTTGTTTAAGAAGAATCATGATTAATGCTATGGAAGGAACAGAAAGACTGACTTAGGATGTTCAGTCTCTAAGGCTAACTCATGCAACTTCCTGTCAGAGTTGGAGCGTTTCCAGAATGAATGGATGTATTTAAAGCCATTTTTTTAAGGAAATTTTTCACTGTTACTCCGATGGTGGATTTCAAAGTCTATCCAGTTTTCAATAGTGTCAACATTTTTTTGCCTTGGCACAGGTTTGGTTTGTATTAGTTAAGTGGGAAACAGACATCAATTCACAAAACTTTGCCAGTGGGGAATATTTTTTGCCAGTGGCCTCCTGACTTATGCCAAGAACAAGGGCCTAGAAATATACATACGTTAGTTGCTGGATCCAAAGGACAAGCTCTTGCATGGCCAGAACAGATACACATGCCTCCAACAGATATATCTTTTATAGAATAGTAATACTGTAAGACAAAACAAAGGAGGAATTGCTAAGTGGATTGCAAGCTGCAGGTGCCCAAGTACTGAGAAAGTGCTGATTTTATTTCATTTTTGTCTCTTACAAATACAACAGGTGGAAAGGTAGATAACTGCTTCCTGAACATCAGTTTCAAGCCTCAGAGAAAAAGAAAGAGGATCAAATTCTCTGCTGGTGTAAAGTGGCATTGCTCCACTGAAGTCAGCATAGAACTGGCTCACAGCTCACATACAGCCAGCAGATACAGAACAAATAAAGGCTAAATATTCACAATATAAAATGAGTAGCCATATACAGTAAAACTCCAATAGTCCGGCATCCAATAGTCCGGCACTCCTGATAGTCCGGCATCAAAATGGCAAGAGCCTAGTGAGTGAGCTTCGGCAAAAAATGAGTCACAAGGTAACAGCGGCAGCAGCTGAACTGAGCAAAAAGGGTAAAAAAGGCTTAAAAAAACTAAAACATTACAGTATACTGTATACAGTATGTACAATAAAAAGGGTTAAGAACACTTTATATATGGTATATAATGTATACAGTATATATATAACCACCTTATAGTACCTCCTGATAGTCCGGCATATCTGATAATCCGGCACCACCTAGGTTCCATAGGTTCCGGATTATCGGAAGTCTACTGTTTGTGGACCTTATCCTGTGAAGAAGGAAAGCTCAGAGCACATGGTGAAAGTACACTAATAGTAATAGTACAAAATTATTTGGCAAATACATACTATTGTGTTAAAGGAAGAACCTTTTATGAACAAATATTATGAAATTAATTTGGTCATCTCGGCACCACCTAGGTTCCATAGGTTCCGGATTATCGGAAGTCTACTGTTTGTGGACCTTATCCTGTGAAGAAGGAAAGCTCAGAGCACATGGTGAAAGTACACTAATAGTAATAGTACAAAATTATTTGGCAAATACATACTATTGTGTTAAAGGAAGAACCTTTTATGAACAAATATTATGAAATTAATTTGGTCATCTCAATGTGAGATATATTTTTAAAATTTCCTGCTAGTTTGCAGATTGACATGATAGGAAATAGGGACAAGGAGAAGGGAGATTTTCCTATCCTGATTAATGTGCCACATTGTGACCTGTCAGTCCACGCACTGACTATTCATTTCCTCATGGGATAAACAGCCCAGACAAAAACAAGCAGTATATCCATGATGGTGAAAGAACGACTGCAAGACTCTTCAAATAAATATGCTTCAGTAGGCCTGAAACAGCTTTTATATGGGAGAGGTTTGTGGCTGGCCTTACAGCTCCCAAACTAAGACCCCCAGATGCACATCACAGTGGAAAATATAATTGGTAGTAGCATTGAAGACTGAAGACAAGGTCTGGCTTGGCAGGGACCTTGCCTGCAGCCTAATCGAACTGAAAATATCCCCTAACTAAGCTGAACGCTCCCAATCTTTTCAGTTTTTCCTGAGATGGAAGTATTCACATTCCTCTGATACCTGTCATTGCCTGCCTCTGCACACTTTAGATTTCTACCACATCATTTTTGTGAGGAGGGATCAGAAAGGAACACTGTTCTCCAGATGAGGACATACCACTATTTACATAAAGGTATTATAATTATTTCAATATTAGTTTCCATTTTAACATTTTTTAAAACCACTGGTGCATCTTGAACAGAGCTTTTTCACTGAGTTATTGCAATACCTTTTTCATGAATGGTTACAGTTAATTTAAAAAAAAGCAAAATACACAAGAAATTCAAATTATTCCTCCTACTTTTCATTATTGTCCATTGTCAACAGCCAATTTTAACTGCCATCTTGTTTACTATTCATTTACTTTGTTTATGAATCCACCAAAGTGCTTCACATTTTTCTCTAGTCTTCACTACCCTTGCAATTTTGGGTTATTTTCAACATTTCAAAAAACTAGATGATTCTCTTGTCAAGCCTGCCTAGTTCAGATCAGCTAAGTGTCCTGTTTTGAGATATGAGCAATTAGACTCCAGAATATTATTGTCCAGAATTAAGAACTAGAAGTTGTACCTCTTTGGTTCACACCCTTGGGACCTGACCAGTCCTGAACTAGGGAGTTTGCTGGACCAGGAATGGTCAATTCCGCCCTGCTGTTGCCAGCCTCCATGCTCTTGCCAGCCTCCCAGCCTGACTCCCCTCCTGGCTACCGGCCTTGGCTCCCAGGCTCCCCTCATGACCATGGACACAGTTGCTGGCCCCAGCCACCATGCTCTGCTCCCTGCACTCCAGCTGCTGACCTGGGTCTGCTCCTAGCCTAGCTCCATTCCTGGCCATGGCCTCCTGACTATTGGCCCCCTAGACACCTGCCTGGCTCCACTTCCAGCTGTTAGCCCCCAGGCAGCTGGACCAGCTCCACTGCCAGCCTTGACCGGGCTCCAGATTGCTGGCCTCCTGACTGCCAGACCAGTTCTGCTCTCATCTGCTGGTCCCCTGGCCACTGAACCAGCTCTACTCCTGGCCCTGGCTGGACTCCTGGCTGCTGGCCCTTCTGTTGCCAGACTCCCAACTGGTCCCCACTCCCAGCTGCTGGGACTCTCTCACCCAGAAACACCCATTACCCCTCCAGACAACATATGTTGCTGAACCAGAGAGGTTAAACCCGTATTAAAAATAACATTCATGGCAATGGAAAAATCCACCTTAAAGATATATTTTCAATAACTGAAGAAGGGCTTTTGACCTCAGTGATTTTACGAGGTTTATTCCCCCCCTCTCCAAGAATGATTCCATGCTTCTTTCCCTCCCCTCCAAATTGCCTAGTTTGCCTCTTTGCTAGCCAGTGCTCACACAGCTGGGACATTTCCTAAAAGCACCAGAGACACAGCAGACCAAGTCTTGAAACATTAGCTACCAAATGGGATATGTCTTCAAAATGACAACATATAGAGCAAAACACAAAACTGTGCAGAGATGAGAATGAAAGCATGGCACTCCCTTTTTTCTTATGCACTAAAATATGTTTTAAAACTAACATGAATAATAACAATAAAAGAGCTCTCTTGTATTAAAGTGCTCATGCCAGCACTGCTACTGGTTCTTCACTTTAATAACATCATTAAACAGAAAATATAAACAAACATTCCCTTCTGCTAAGGCGTAAACAAAAGACTGAAGAAGGGGGAACCATTTATCTGCCACTGCGAGTCTGACAGCTAACAGAAGCTATTCATATTCTTCTAAGATTTCCTGTGGTGATCGAAGGTAGGTACAATATTATTGAGGACAGTTCAGAATCTATTATATCGTTTTGTGTCTTTGCTAGAACTTACCCTCCTTGTAACTATGTGGTCAATTTCATTGGGATCTTTGTGTGCAAACCTCATTAAATCAGCATTCAGTGTACGTATCCTCTGAAATCTCAGTCGAATAAAGCGAGCTGAAGTGAATTCCAGCAGTTCTCGGGAAGGATCATCAGCACTTGGGCGTCCATTGATCAGTGACGTATGAATCTAAGGACAGAATTATTGAAATGATCAGGTTAAATGAACATTACTTGTGAAGATGCCAGTAAATGTCATTGTTATGATGTCAAACCAGGTGAGCGTGTATTTTTTCAGACTGAGGAGCCAGGTGAGCATGTACTATTTCAAATACTTTCTTTTTTAGAAAGCAAATATCCCCTTACTCTCAAAAGACGGATTTATTGTATATTGAACAGCTTTTAGCACACCTGGCCCCAACCAATACATAAATCATAAATAATAAGATGTCCAAACCTAATGCAGATAGATTACCGTGTTCTAGACTGACCTATTAAGTCATAGAGCAAAACATTTAAGAAAAAGAATTACAAGAGATGTGTTCTGGGAAAAGTTTTGCCAGAAGAAAACATTGCATGTAATAAAAAAACATGCTTGAGCACTTTGTGGCAAACCAAACCCTTTTACTCTATGGTCTGTTGTATCTTTATTAGATGATTTCTTAGGGCCCCTTCCAGAAACTACATTCTATGATTCTATTACCAGCTGATGAAAGAACATGACCCCATTTTCAGGTCCCAGATTGAATATGCAGGGCTGTTGTGGACAATGAAGGAATTGTAGTAAAGTGGTCATGACAGGGTAAACTAGATTGCCCGAAGTGTTACAGGCTAGATCCAAGCTCCACTCCTGACTTCCTGTTTTAAAAGTTAGAGTTTTCTCCTTCCCACACACACTTTATTTGAGGCAGATCAATGAAGCAACAACTTCTGCCTATAGTCCTGTGAGACAAGAGTTTTGTTTTTTGTTGGCCTGAGCAGTTGCTTTAAAAAAGGAGTTATCTGTATTATTTTTCTGACTGTCGTATTCACCTGAATTCACCCAATTGATATAATCATGTCTGACTGAATTGAATTAAATCCAAGGGTCCTGTCATATAATGACCAAGATCAGTTACCACCAGAGAGAATATCAATACTTTTATGAAAACGATGAGGGACCTATTAGTAGGTAAAGCCCCACTTTTTTTGCTCAAGCATGCTAAAAGGTTAATTTTACCCAGTTCTGAACTTATGATCAAAGGGGCCTTAAACTGAGAGAGCCTGACCTAGACAGAAAGGAGATCTGAGCAGGCAGCAGCTGGGAACAGGAGACAGACATGAACATGAGAGAGAAAGAGAGAAAGAACTGCAAGGAACAGTGTGGCTTTTCCAACTCAGCAGAGAAGGTAGCTGGGCTAAGAGCAACTACCAAAAAACAACCCTGTTTGATGAGAGAAAAAGTTTAGGTGAGACCAGATATCTTTAGACTTTTGTTGTTTAAATACTTCTCTCTGCTTTCTATGTATTTTGGGGTAAACAAACAAAACATTTCTTTTGCTGCGTCACTTTAATCAATCTCTGGTCACAAGCTCCCATAGGGAAATGTCTTACAAGTGTCAAAACAGTTGGCCCTGTTGTCATGGTAACACATTTGGAAAGACACCCTGATATCTAGTCAGAAAGTGATAAAACTGTGGGATATCACCCAGAGAGCAGTGAAGGTAGCAAGAACCTGTCACTTGAGGAATACTCTTGAGAGGAGCTGCAAAGGGGCTGTATAAGACTCTACTCAGCTTCTAACTTTGACAGTATGCTAGGAATAGGGGGTGGGAGGTGTAGCCTTGTGAGAAGAGTGCAGGTAGAGGCCTGTCACACTTGGAAAAAGTTCCTACAGGAGAGACAGGAGGAAAGATTACAGATGCAACCTGCCCCTGAACCATTATAGCTGGCAACTATCTGCCAGCAACCCATCTCTTTGGCAAGGATAATGCTGTAACAGTAATGATTTCCATTTTTACAGTGTCTTTCATACAGAATGATCATTAACTACTGTATAATCCAATTTTAAATCTATATAATTGCGGAAATGTAGCCATCTCTTTGGTGAAGTGTAGTACAGGTTGAACCTCGCCAGTCTAGCACTCTTGGGACCTGACTAGTCCTGAACAAGGGGATTTGCCGGACCAGGGAAAGACCCTTCCCTCTGGCCTGTGCTGCCATTGGGCTAGGGCTCCTGCCTGCCCCTGCTGCTGCCCCAGCCCCCTGGGGCTCTCTTGATGCTGCGGTGTGCCACGGCCAGAGCTTGGTGGCAGCGCAGAGCTTGGTGGCAGGGACTGGAGCTCCGCAGCCAGGGTACAGCTCAGCAGCCACCTGGCTCCACAGCTGGGGCTGGAACTACACAGCCAGGGCTGGGGCGGAGGACCAGGGCCAGAGCTCCCTGGCTGCTACTGGGGCAAGAAATCCCTCTGTGCTGCCTCCTCCTTCCCCCTCTCCACACACACTGGACTGCTGGTACCCCCAAGCTCACTCCTGCCCTGCCACCAGATGTCCTTGTTCTTGGGCTCTGTGGTGTAGGAACATCTATGGTTCATGCCGGGTAAGGGAGGTACAACCTGTACCTGTTAAACAGGGTACTCCAAGACTACTTCTTGGTTTAGGAGAATAGATGAGTATTTTATCAAACTGAATGTGTAACAGAAATTTTAGATAGGCAAAATGTAATTATCCAAATAATTTCTCCTTCTTTTCAGCATTTGTGAATAAATCATACATTTCCCCCATGAAACATTTTAGACTCTCCATTAATAGTGCAGGCTAAAATGTTCCTACTTCTTAGAAGGGAACACGAAGGAACTAAAAGTACCTAGGAAATATTTACCACTAAGTCAGGAATATGAAGCTAGAATTTTAACTATGACTCATTTAAATATGCATTTTAAAAAAGAAGTTTCAGCTTTTGACTGTTAAAATATTGTTTCAATTAAACACTTTCATAATAAGATTTTAGTGTTTTTTCAAGAGCATACATTCTTTTTTTTCTTTTTCTTTTTTTTTTTTTTTCAAATTCAAGCACTTACTGAAAGCACTATGGTATGCTGGACAATACTGAAGTAGACCAAAAAATTTGGTCTTTGCCTGGGGTCTAAAGTGTTTAGCCAACAAGGTGGAAGATGTTTTCAGTACTTCCCAAACTGAGGAGGGTTTTTTCTTTGTTTTGGTTTTTGTTTGTTTGTTTTCTTTTTAAGGCCTGGCAAATCAGAAAAGCCAAAGCCCAAACAAAAACTTGCTGGGTGATGAGGCACACAACTTCTGACAATGTAGATTCAGCACTATAGGCATGCGCATGGGGTGTGCCGGGTGTGCACAGGCACACACTAATGTTTCAAAGGGCTGCCTGTGGGGCGGGGGCGCGAGCCCCTGCACTAGAAGGTGCGCCACTTCAGCGCTCCGGGGAACGGGCACCGCACTGGGTTTGCCGCACATGAACGGCTGCGCAGTCAAAACCGGCGGGTCTTAGGTCCCACAGAAAGAGGTGGCAGGGACACAGCAACGTCACCCCGCCACCCCGTCAAGTGTGGGGAGTTTAAAACTCAGGCGGGAAGGCGGAAGCGGAAGAGTAGGAGAGCCAGGAGGAGTGGAGGCTGGCTGGGGTTTCCCGCCC